TCTTTGTTATTGAGGACAATGGTTCGAATGTAAATAAGTTGAATAATATCTCCTCATCCCAGAAATTCAGACAGAAATCCTTTACGTTTTTGTTTGGCAAGAGAAAGCGTATTAGAGATACAAAACCGGAGAAGTTAACTCTAAACCACACAATTATCTTTGCAAAATAATCGGAATTGTTAGGTTTTGCTATCTCTCCGCCTACAGGTAGTCGTAGTACAGTTCTCCGCGTCCTGAATAGCAACCGGGTTTTCTAGGCATAGCCACCTCATATTCGCCAATTATTCTCTATTTATACTTGTCTATCTAATTTGCATACGATACTACAAAAACAATTCAGAGATTATTAAAAAAACGATCTGTAGAGAGAGGGACATGATCGCTTACATCCTGGATAGATATTTTTTTTTAAATGCCCTAGTTTTCTACGTCACAAGATCCAAACATTTGGCTATAAATGAACGATAAAAATTAGTGAAAATCAAAAATAGCTTTTTACCGGTAATTTTAAAGCAAGAAATTCTAAAAACTCCAAATAGAAGGTAGCTAAGAAAATCAAGATAAAACGACTAAATATAAACTACAAGAAGACAAAATGAATGGTTATCAGTGCAATGGTGAGCCCAAAATGCAATTTCCAAGTCGAGGATCCTAAAATCAAACAAGTACAAACATGTGAAAATGTGTGAAGTTTTCAAAAAGAGCACGGCAAGTGTGATATTGAACTCCGAAGACGCTCTTAGATTGTCAAAGATGCATTCCAAAAATTAAGCAGAATATTAAGAGACAAACTACGTTTAAAAAAAAAAAAAAGAAAAAGTACTCAGTTGTTACGTGATATCTGCCCTCTTATAAGGCAGTGAATGCTGGACAATCTCAAAGATGACGAAGAAACTTGAAGCAACAGAAATGTAGTCCTACAGAAGGATGCTGAGGATACTATGTACGGAATATGTGAGAAAGGATGAAGTGTCACAGAAAAATGAAAACAAAACGAAAAATTCTACTTAACATCAAGAAGTGGTAGTTGTAATTTCTTGTCTGAGTAATAGGAAAAGAGGGCTTGGAAAATTTGTTACACGCAGGACAGACCGAGAGAAAAAGGAAAGCATCGCGTAACATACATGTTGGGCTTCGGTAAATGGATGTTAGAACAGTGTTTGGGAAAATAACAAAAAGACAAAACTTGAGAGCTAAAAGAGACAGGAAGATGTGGTGGTCTATGATCGCCTACGTCCTAAAGGGGCACGGTACTCAAAAGATATAGTTAGTGGTGTCATGTGTTTGAATATACTAAACTTTGAATAGATTAGCTCTGGGTTTGAATAATATCGCATTAGTGTGGATTAAACTAACGGCGCAACAATCTCCATAACTAATAAGTATCGTAGACAAATGGAGGGAGTTTGTTTAACGGCATATCAAAGCCTTATGGATTGTTTAATGCCGAAATTTATTTTTCTTAGGAACATTAGTAACTTCTTTTACAAAAATGTAAAACTTATTTTTTTTTCTCACAAATTTTATTGCTGGTAATTTTTATTTTTTAACAAGTATGATTACTGTTATTTTTAATATATTGCTGGTAATATATTTTTCTCCAAAAATGTATTGCTGGTAATGTTTTTTTTTTTTTTTTTTTTAATGTATTGCTTTTAGTTTTTTAATATGGAAATGTGTTGCTAGTACCTTTAAAAAAAAATTGCTTTTTTAATACTTTTCTATTCTATTTTGACGTGAATTTGGAGTTAACTATTTCCCCATAGTTGGGTCCCTAACAGGTGCTGCCACCCCAGGTCAGGGTGGAACTGCGAATAACATCAATTAAAAAGTGGTTCCACGCTCCTTAAATAAATGTTATTCTAAATAAATACACGACTGTGATTTCCCACCAGCAGTGCTTAAATACGACAGCTGCACCCAATGCCTTGGTGTATAAGTATAATGTTTGGCCTTCTACTAGGACAGCTAGCCATTCCCTGTTTCAGACGCCGGCTCAGGCATATTCGTGTTTGTTAAACGCCTACAGAGCGCACCTGTGTTTTTTTTATACTGCAACTCATCTGAGCGAACTCAATTTTTCAGTTTCTTAGAGAGAGAGAGAGAGAGAGAGAGAGAGAGAGAGAGAGAGAGAGCATTATCTGACATGAAGTACAGTTTGAACAATGTCAGTACTCACAAATGGTCGGTGACGATGACTAGAGATTTAGGGCAAGCACAGCCATCGACGCTATTTAGTAACTGCCCCACGCAGTCACATGTGGCACAAGGCCGAATTTAAAGCGGACAAATGAGCCATTCACTTTCGGCCAAATAAAAATATAGACCCTGCATAAACAGGATCGGGTCTGTCTACCTCCCGGACGAAACTGCCCTTCGGCATAGCCTCGTCCGGGTTCCTCTCTGCCTTCGGCCAGAGAGTTCGACTAGCGCAGCTGAGAAAGATCCCAGCTCGACTGCAATCAGATAGTTGCGTCTAGCCAATTTCACCCACAAGATTGTGGTATGGTTTTCAGGCACTTTTCAACGTTACGATACGCTGGAATCGAGTCCCATGCCGATATCATTAAAAATAAATTCCCCTTCCCGATAAATCGACCACGGTGAGAGTCAAATCTGGCTTTCAGCGTCAGCAGGTTCTAGCCACTGTCACTCGCCTACTTGTAATACCCAAACAAAAAAGGACTACCTACCGAGAGGAGGCTAGGTTGGTAATGTGGCACACACGTTTTTAAGGCTGTTTTGAGTGCCGATTCAAAAGGTTGTGCGTGTTCATCTATGACTGTTGGGGTTTGAGAGTATTTTGGATAGAATGCATTTATTTCTCTTGTTTAATATCGAGGGAAATCGATATACGTCTGTCTGGCTCCTCGAGTCTCCAGGGCCATATTACTATTGTACATTACAAACACAATTTGGTGACTAATGAATGACTGGACGAAAAAAAAATCTGTGCTAAATTATGCGCCTCCAGAAATAACGCTTTCTGGTAATCTAGCCACATAGCTAGCTGTCACTTCATTTTCTTCAAACTGTTAATAGGATAGAAAAAAAAAAAAAAAAAAACTTCTAAAAGTAATGGACTAAATGTGTTCTAATTTGTACTGTTAGTTAAAGTTTTGTCTATTCGTATTTTTAACTAGTATTTCTGACTTTCTAATGGTTCAGGACTGAATATGACGGTAAACGACATCCAGCATCAAAGATCGGGTTATTGGAGTTTTTGAGGAGCGTAGAGCCACTTGTTAATTGCTGTTTAATTGTGGTAGCGCCTGAAAGAGGCACAGCTATGGCCAAATATTGAACCCCAAACACTATGAAAGCATAAAAATAAATTGTTATAGTAAAAATCGCAGCAATACATGTTGATATAAAAAATACTAATGTATTTTTATAGTAGAATTACCAACAATGCATTTTAAAACAAAATGACCAAAAATACATTTTATCGGTAGTTGTCAACATAAACTATGTTCAAAATATTTAGATTTCGGCATTAAATAACCCATAGAGGTTGATATGCCGCTAAACGAAATCAACCAACCAAAATCCAAATATTTAGATTCCGGTATTAAATAACCCATAGAGGTTGATATGCCGCTAAACGAAATCAACCAACCAAAATCCAAATATTTAGATTTCGGCATTAAATAATCCATAGATATTGATATGCCACTAAACAAAATCCACCAACCAAAATCCAAATATTTAGATTTCGGCATTAAATAACCCATAGAGGTTGATATGCCGCTAAACGAAATCAACCAACCAAAATCCAAATATTTAGATTTCGGCATTAAATAACCCATAGTGATTGATATGCCGCTAAACAAAATCCACCAACCAAAATCCAAATATTTAGATTTCGGCATTAAATAACCCATAGAGGTTGATATGCTGTTAAACAAAATCAACCAACCAAAATCCAAATATTTAGATTTCGGCATTAAATAACCCATAGAGATTGATATGCCGCTAAACGAAATCAACCAACCAAAATCCAAATATTTAGATTTCGGCATTAAATAACCCATAGTGATTGATATGCCGCTAAACAAAATCCACCAACCAAAATCCAAATATTTAGATTTTGGCATTAAATAACCCATAGTGATTGATATGCCGCTAAACAAAATCAACCAAACCAACGAAGGACATTAATCATTATATCTTACAATTTCTTAAAGAAATCAAACTGTATTCCAAAGTATTGATTTTCTAACCGTTGCTTAGATGTGGCACAAGGCCGGAAGTATGGAGAACCCAGTGAGGATCGAACTCACTACTTAGTCGTAATTGTTCTAGCGAGACAAGCTTGCTAACCATTACACCACGCCGAGGCGCCCAAACTATTCCAAAGTATAACATCAACAAAACGACAATTTAATAAAAAACACATTTCATCGACTCTAGTAATTATGTCCATACAAACATATATATGCACAAAAGATTAGTATTATTTACCATGTATTCAATTGTGAAAGCAGAATAACATTATTATTTCAAAGCTCCCAAGAAAATTAATTTACGGCATAAAATGACCCATCATGTTTTGATATGCCGTTAAACAATTCAATCAATCTTTAATGACACCTTCATTACTTACTGATAGTTCACCTAATAAAAGGTTCAATCAGATTTGAAATCGAATTAGTTTATTGCAAGCGAAGGAGAAGGAATGCATATTATAAGGAAGCGTTCATCATTGACTTGAAGAGACAAAGATGGTATTTACCAGGGAAGCAACTTCTCGGGAGTATTCCCCAAAGCAACAATTCTAGGGAAGAAGCTGTTTGAGTGGCACATGCTTCTTACCAAAGGGATACAAAATTGATGCTTTGACACAGTGAACATAGCATAGCGGGTCCTAACTCTGATGGAATGTGCAGGTATCACTAAGAAATGCCATAAGAGCGATAGAGTAGTGAGTGGCTATCGCGCTCAGCTTAATGGAAGAAAAAAAACACAGGCGAAATAAAATATAGGCGCCGTGATAGACTCTAAAATGAACCCTTGTCTTCTTTGAAGAAAAAGAAAAGTAAAAAATAACAGAGAAAATAGAAAAAAAACATAAAGGAGAAAATAGAATAACATAAAAGGAGAGTGAAGAAAAACGTAAAAGGAAATAAATAAAAGAAAAAAGAAAGTAGAAAGAATGAGAAGAGAAAAATAGGAGAAAAGAAAAGAGAAAAATAGGAGAAAAGAAAAGAGAAAAATAGGAGAAAAGAAAAGAGAAAAATAGGAGAAAAGAAAAAAGAGAAAAAGAGAAACAGGAGAAAAGAAAAAAGAGAAAAATAGGAGAAAAGAAAAGAGAGAAAAATAGGAGAAAAGAAAAAAAGAGAAAAATAGGAGAAAAGAAAAAAAGAGAAAAATAGGAGAAAAGAAAAAAAGAGAAAAAAGGAGAAAAGAAAAAGAGAAAAATAGGAGAAAAGAAAAGAGAGAAAATAGGAGAAAAGAAAAAAAGAGAAAAATAGGAGAAAAGGGAAAAAGAGAAACAGGAGAAAAGAAAAGAGAGAAAAATGGGAGAAAAGAAAAAGAGAGAAAAATAGGAGAAAAGTAAAGAGAAAAATAAGAGAAAAGTAAAGAGAAAAATAGGAGAAAAGAATGGAAAAAGAAGAAAAAGCAAAAAACGAAGAAAAGAAGGAAAAAAAGGAGGTACTTACGAAACTCGACGTTGCTTAATTTAGGAGAATCGTTGTCTCAATGTGATATGACCGTAATCACTATTGGACAAGAGTATCATAAATAAAATAAACTTGATTAACTGAAGTTTGGTTTGACAAACGAATTACATGAATATCACATTATGCAGAATAGCATGTAAGGAACAAGAAACTGTAACTATAAACATTTGATTAGAATCAGAAAAACGGTTGACATTTCGACGACACATTTTCAGGAGAAAAGCGTTGGAGAATGTAACAGATGGAAAATTTGAACAAATGGCAAGAAGAACAGATGCTACAATGAGAATTGGAGAAACCATGAAGGATAATGTATGGTTGAAAGTAGAATACCACTGGAAGCTGCAAAGAAATATAAACAGAAACGTTTTGAAAATATGTAACAGAGAAACTCATAAACAACTAGATAGGTAAGAGTCACGGCCAGATGTACGGGCAGATGATTAGGTACTCTCACGGCCAGATGCGCAGGCACACTCACGGGCAACGTGTAGATAGATGAACTGAGAGACACGACCAGACGCACAGACAGAAAAAGCTGGCACACTCGAGGAGAGACAGAAAAGTCTGGCACACTCGAGGAGAGACGAAAAAGGCTGGCACACTCGAGGAGAGACAGAAAAGGCTGGCACACTCGAGGAGAGACAGAAAAGGCTGGCACACTCGAGGAGAGACAGAAAAGGCTGGCACACTCGAGGAGAGACGGTAAAGGCTGGCACACTCGAGGAGAGACGGTAAAGGCTGGCACACTCGAGGAGAGACAGAAAAGGCTGGCACACTCGAGGAGAGACAGAAAAGGCTGGCACACTCGAGGAGAGAGACAGAAAAGGCTGGCACACTCGAGGAGAGACGGTAAAGGCTGGCACACTCGAGGAGAGACAGAAAAGGCTGGCACACTCGAGGAGAGACGGTAATGGCTGGCACACTATTGAGGAGAGACAGAAAAAGGCTGGCACACTGAGGAGAGACAGAAAGGCTGGCACACTTTGAGGAGAGACGGTAAAGGCTGGCACACTCGAGGAGAGACGGTAAAGGCTGGCACACTCGAGGAGAGACGGTAAAGGCTGGCACACTCGCGGAGAGACGCACCGATGGATGAGATGCACACGCATGAACAGACATGCAGATGACCAGGCGCAGAAAGAAATGAGCAGGAGTTCTCACGGCCAGACGTACAAACAGATGAGCTGACACACGTACGGAGAAAGTGTAGGAAAAGCTCATGGTCAGACACGCAAACAGACGAGGTGACACTTACAGACAGACATGCACACAGAAGAGCAGGCACTCTCATAGACAGCCTCACAGACAGATAAGCTGGTAGACTCACTACCAGACGCACAGAGACATAAGCCTGGAGACAAAAAGATTGTAGTAACATAGCGTTCCTATTTCGGGGAACTTATACCCCATGCACACCACATGTTGCAGAGAGAATCAAGTGATTTCTCTCCTTTACTTATTTATGTTCTGTACATAAATATATAATATTTCAGATATGTTTTGGAATCACTTCTTTTAAGACTTTTTAAGCATATTACGGAATAGCATCGGAAAAATCGGTTTAATAATGATACTGGAAATACGTTTAAAAATATTGTCAGAAGAAAGCATTAAAAAAAAATACTGATTTCTTACACACACACACACACACACACACACACACACACACACACACACACACACACACACACACACACACACACACACACACACAGTCCCTTCTAAAAATAACTGATTTAATTTTCCTCTGTTATCAAGACATCATATAAATGTCGATTCTGAGTGAGAAAACCGCTTTCTATTATTACAGACATTTCTTTTTCTTCTGGAAGTTTCTAAATTCTGCAGCATAATTTGGAGGCGGTGAGATTCCATCTCAGTTTATCGTCTTTGGAAATCATTAAAAAAAATACGGCCAACCAAAACACCACAACCTTCTTTTTGTCCTGGTAATTGCGCGCAATTTACACTTAATTGAATATAACACGTCCTCAGAAAATTAAAAAATATTGATTATTGCAATAATTAAGAAAGAATCTAAAGGACAATCTCGACCATAAACGCTATAATAATTATAATCCTATTAAGATATGTTAATAATATGATTATTAGTGTTCGTAATTAAAAACATAAACTAAAAGAAGGAAACAATGAATATATCACAGTTTATAGGAATGTTTTTTTAAGAAAAAGCAAAACTTCGATGACTGCTATAAAACTTACTAATATTGGTGTTCTTAGAAATAAGAGGATAACGTTGTAGATAAAAACATGAATATAATGAAGCATATAAACAGTTCTATCGATCGGATTTTTTTTTTAATTGACATATCCTCAGGAATATATTTATTATAAGAATAATTATTTGAATAACAATTATCATAAATATATTGCAAAGTGACCGTTTTTAAGTTTATAAGCAGTTATAATCAACTTAATCATTTGTTAGCAAATTAAACAAAGGCGACGAAACTACGCCCGTCCTGAGTATGACGATAAACTACATCCGGCAGAAAGGCTTCTGATCAGGAGATTTTGAGAAGCGTGTTAATTGCTGTTGTTCCATGGTCCACCCTGATCAACGGTGGTAGCACCTGTTAGGGTTACAGCTATGGGCAAATGTTTAACTCCTAAAATCGGGTCAAAACATGATGAAAGTATAAAAGAATATGGCAAAAATACCAGGAATAGAATGTCATATTACAAACAAATATTAAAAGAATGATATTTTTGTAACAAAAAACAAAAAAACTTACATGCAATAGATTTTTAAACATAATTACAAATGCTTCCCCCCACCCCCCAAAAAATCGACATTAAATGAACCAAAATGAGTTAATATGCCGCTAAACAAACAAAAGAAAACTACACACACTGTTGTATAGTGTTGTTCTACGATATGGAAACAGTAGTCACCTTAATCTCTAACTGACTCTTTACTTTATATTTCCTATAACCAACATGGTTAGAATCCTATTTAGCAATTCCATTACACACACAAACCTACATAAATTCTATAGTGGTTGTTGACTCGATCTCGCGGAGGGCTCCTTCCTTAATTTAACCGTTCCTTGATATTTCCTATAATAAAGACCCTATAACTCTGAGGGATTATAATGGCAGATACTTAAAATAGACGCGGGCACCTAGAGGCGGTGTAATGGTTAGCAAGCTTGCCTCGCTAGCACAATTACGAATGTGTAGCGAGTTCAATTCTCACTGGGTGCTCTATACTTTCGGCCTTGTGCCACATCTGAGCTACGCTTAGAAAATCGCTACTTAAAATAGACGGATACTACTTGCTGAATGCTTGAGAAGACTAGTGATAGCTTAAATCGCAGTATTTTAATTCAGAGACATCCTTCTTAAACTGCGTACAAAGAACGAAGAGACCAATCGGCCCTGCCATTTAACGCAGAGCTAAGGAGAGAAGATGTTTTTTTAACTTTTCCAAAAAGTATTTGTGCAAAAGTAAATGTTTGCTTGTTTGTTTAACGGCATATCAAATTCTCATGGGTAATTTGATACCGAAATTTTATTTTACTTTGGTATTTTTCTCAAATAAATATAATGATGCTAACTTTTTTCAAATATTATTTTTTTTACTATGAAAATGTATTGTTGGTAATTGTTTCTAATGTATTTGTATAATTCATGTTTTGAACCCCAATTTGTGTGTTCACTATTTCCCTATAGCAGGGACCCTAAAAGGTTGCTACCACCTTGAGCCAGGGTGGATGTGGGAAAAAGCAGAAATTAACAGATGGTTCTACGCTCCTCGAAACCTCCTGATCTGAAGCCTTGCTACCGGATGTAGTTTATCGTCATATCCAGGACAACAAAAGTCAATGTAACGAGAACACTGAATTTCGGAAAATGAAAATGTGATGGTGGGGTCCTGCTCCGAATGCTTCGTGAAACGTAAAATGCGTACAAATTATATATTATAGTAAAAGAGACTGAAAGAGGCGATTGAACTGACATTTCCGTCGACTACAATGCTAGAATATCGGAGAGCACTATGGTGATTTGAGTGATTGGAGAAGACTCTTGTGATAACATCAGTATTAGTCACTGAAGAAATGTGTCCTGAACATGCAGCTGACACTACTACTACTAATACTACTACTAATAATACTACTACCACTACTACTAATAATAATAGTAATACTACTAATAATAATACCACAAATAATACTAATACTACTACTAATAATACTTCTAATACTACTACTACTACTATTAATAATAATACTGCTACTACTACTATTAATAATAATACAAATACTACTACTACTAATAATAATACTACTACTAATACTACTAATATTTACTAATAATAATAATAATACTAATACTAATACTACTATACTACTACTAATAATAATAATAATACTACTACTATTAATAATAATACTTCTAATACTACTACTAATAATAATACAAATACTACTACTACTACTACTAATAATAATAATAATAAGCAAGAAAACGAAAACAGAAGGCATAATTATTGCAGCTGAGGACCAAAGCCTCGCGACCTGCCTCTATCACTGTCACATAATCAAGGATGAAACTCGTGCGAAATGATGGACCTGCGGAAAATATTACGAATCTGTTGTTGATATTATCTCAGAATATCCGAAATTGGCAAAAAATGAAAATACCCAGACATCACAAGGTAGCGACATATGTGCCTTGAAAGATACACAAGAAGAGCAAAATGGAAACCACTGAGAGATGGTATGAGCACCAGCCAAACAGTTACCCGAAATACAGATGTAATTATCCTCTGGGACATGTCAATTCAAACTGACAGGGAAATAAAAGCCAACAGACCTGATATTATCATAAGAGACAAGAATTTCAGGAAATGTATGCTTATTGACATAGCAGTACCATCTGAGAGAAACACCTCCATGAAAATTATGGGCAAATTGTCCAAATACAAGAAACTGGAAAATGAAGACTGAGACTGTACCAATAGTAATCGGAGCACTGGGCCACGTAAGTAAAGGAATGAACAATTTTACTAAGAGTGCCGAAGGTAATATCAGCATAAAAGTTGCTCAGAAGATCGCCCGACAAGGAACATCCCATATATGAAGAAGTGCTATCGATTACATAACATTTTTCCTATAGGGCATAAGGACCATAGTTTTGAACCGGCTCCACAGGATACAAAGCAGGAAACAAAACAATAACAAATAAGAAGAAGAAGTAGAAGAAAAGAAAAGAAAAAGCAAAAAAGAAAAAGCAAAAAAGAAAAAAAGAAAAAGAAAAAAAGAAAAAGAAAAAAAGAAAAAAAAGAAAAAAAGAAAAAAAGAAGAAAAAGCAAAAAAGAAGAAAAAAAGAAGAAAAAGCAAAAAAGAAGAAAAAGCAAAAAAGAACAAAAAAGAAGAAAAAGCAAAAAAGAACAAAAAAGAAAAAAAAGCAAAAAAGAACAAAAAAGAAAAAAAAGCAAAAAAGAACAAAAAAAGAAGAAAAAAGCAAAAAAAAGAACAAAAAAAAAAAAAAAAAAGAACAAAAAAGAAAAAAAAGCAAAAAAGAACAAAAAAGAAAAAAAAGCAAAAAAGAAGAAAAAGAAAAAGCAAAAGAAGAAAAAGAAAAAGAAAAAGCAAAAGAAGAAAAAGAAGAAAAAAGAAAAAGAAAAGGTAAAGGAGAAGAGGAGGGAAGGAGAAGGGGAAAGGATGGAAAAGAAGGAAAATAGGAAAAAGAAAAAGGAGACGGAGAAGATTATCACCGGGTCTCACTTTCATGACCTCCATTCTTAAATGATTGGATGTTTGACATGTTTTTTTTCCCAGTGAAGTATGACGCGCTACAGTAAATATCCCGTTCATTACCATATTCTTACTTTCTTGTCTAATCTTAAACAGTTATACGTATATCCATGTAAGGCTTAACGCACAATGCATATCGGTTCATGAATTCGATCAGTCGGGGAGCATCTTTTTCATGTGTCGAGAGTGTTTCTTTTTCTTAACTTTTTAAAAACCAATCACCGAATAATTAGTGTGTAACATCTAAATTCAGAGGGAAAATTAGAAGAAAATAAAAAAAGAAAAAAAATCAATTGTGAAAAAAAAAGAAAAAGAAACAAACCGTTATTATAATTATTATCACCATCACTTATAAAACTTATATTTTTTATATAATAATAATAGATTTTATAATAATGTTTTTCTTAATTAACCCTACCTGGGGGGAAATGTAAGTTT